CATAACAATATACTTTGCTTTTCAGTTTCCCTTGGTTTACTTATTTTCATGTGATGGCTTTGCTTTNCTTTCATGTGTGCAGGTCTAACGGATTGTCAGTGACCTCAACCTCACGGGATCACACCCTATTTTCATGACGGTAGATTTTTTGCATCTACAGTAACTATATAGCCGTGATCTCTATATTTGTTCACTCTGCATTACCAGAGTGAAAACAAATTGAAAAAAAATTAAACGTATAAAATAAAAAAGCAAGAATGAAAGCATTCATATATATCTTATCAAAAGAGCCTCAGTTAAAACTTAAAAGTATTACCTGCACGGCACACATAAGTGACATGTGAAATATTCAAATTCTAAACTTTCAAATAGTATATATGCTAAGAAGAAGTTGTTCAAGATCAAAACTATGAGGATGATGGCAGCATAAATAGCCCATGTAACACACTTGAGGCTGAGTGGAAAAGAAATTGCAGTGGTATGGAAGACAGTTGTGACACCATGAACACCACCAATTTTTCAAGAACTTGAGAGGGAAAACGAAATGAATAATGCTACGCCGACACCTCTTTCTCATAAGCCCCTCTTACAATGCCAACATGTCACTTGACCTGGCACTGCCACGACAACTTTAAGACATAAATGATTTTGGCTAAACTAAAGAAATGATCATTCATTTTATAGGGAACAATTGTTCCTTATAAAGGTATGGCTGTTTCTTATGCAAGAAACGACCGTTTCTCAAGAGGAGGAGGAGGAGAAGAAGAAGAGGAAGGAAAGAGAGAAGAAGAAAAGGTTGTTCCTTCAAGAACAATGGTTGTTGTTCCTTGAAGGAACATCCATTCCTTCGTAAAGATGGTTGTTCTTTTGTAAGGTACAACTGTTCCTTCTCCAGTAACGAGCGTTTGTTTCTCATAGTGCTTTGATGCTTTGGGTGTGGTAGGGTCAGAGTTGACGTGACTGTGCTAACTAATATATTGATATGTTAGGGTTGTAAGAGAAGTTTATGAGAGAGAGTTGTTGGCGTAGCATTACCTAAAATAAATTTTAAGCCAACAAATTTTGCGACAAACAGCAAGGAAAATGTGAGCATTATTAGAAAAGAAAGAACATGGAAAGACAAAGGGAGGTGGAATTGGTTGTGCACATATAGCAGGGAAATTTCAAGGGCCGCCGTGAAACAAAACGCCATGATTATATTTTGCCATTGAAGAATATTGTTGTGAGCATCTGGTGGCTCTTGCGGGTGGGTAATTGGATGCTGGTTTGATGAGCTTGAGAAAAGGCGAAGAATAGAGGTTTTAACTGAAGCTAAAACCATCTTGATTTGGTTCATTTTAGATAGAAAATGAAAATCAATTTTACAAGTAAACAATTGATCATGAGGGTGTTCTATATATAAGTTCATGGTTTAGGATCGGATATTGTTAACATGTAAACTTCCCTCCAGATTTTGCATGTATAATCATCGGTTCGGATTTTAAGAGATGATGAGTGAAGCAGCAGTCTCTGTCATCTTTTCTTTTCTTTTAAAGAATGCAAGTAACTGTAATATTGGATCGGATCGGATAAAACATATGGCGTCCTGGAGCAATAGTACTACATGACTTCGGGAAGGGACCAGGCATTTTCTTCAGTTAGGTCAAGCTTGAGCCGTAGTAGATTCTAATTTCATAGTTTATTGTTCAAATTTTAAAATGTTATTAATTGAAAACATTTTGTTTTATACATGTATGAATCAAGTAATGGTTAAGTCAATTTAACATAAAAATACTTTATTATCTTGTAAAAATTAGTATTGATGTTAAATTTTTAGATTTTTAATACGAGTAATGTTAGGTTCACAACTTAATCTTATAATATTTTCTCACAATCTACCACATGATAGCCTATAAATAGATATCACCTATCCATTTGTGAACTGACCAATTTTGAACTATCACATCAGGGTTATGAGATTGAGTTATGAACATTGTATTATTGTTTTAATACATAATATCAAGTCAATAAAAGGAATATTATATCATTATTTATGGATGTCAAAATGACCCACGGGTTTAGTAAAAAGTTTGGGGTCAATCGGATTTGGGGTTTATTATCTTGATCCAAATTGATTTGGAGCAGAGACATACGAATGTCAACTTTGACTTTGACCTGCCCCTTCACCCCAAAAATAGATAATAGTAATTATATATAATATTTAACAATAAAATTATAAGTATTATATATAAAAGGTTATATTATTTACTTTTTTTTGTTTTATTCAGACAAAAGTAAATCCTTCTAACCACCACAACCTTGTGCCTTCCTTGACTCATTTCAAATCATTGTTTTAAAAACGGACCGACGGGCAACCTGCTCTGATGGTCGGGTCACAGTTTAACCGGTCCAATTGGTTGGACCGTCAGTCAGACTGGTGATGTCATCACACATCATGATGACAGCAGCATATTTTTAAATTTTTTTTTTTTAGATTTTTTTTTAATAAGACAATAACAACTTAATTACTGTCAAATTCAATATGATTCAAAGTTCAAATTCAACAACAATCCTAACATTATTTAAGTATTTAATAACAATTCAAAGTCTAAATCCAAACATGATGTTGTATTTATATATTAAATGTCAAAATACATACTAATTAATGGCAAAATATTTGATGCAAGTGTTTTTTCTTTGATCCGTCTCCATGTTGATTGAGCTTCACACACTAGCACTTGCCAATTCCAGTTCACGTTGTTACGCCTGGGAAAATCAAGGGCTGACGTGGGAGATCACGTGATGGGGGGGTGACCTGCTTCCGTCAGAACGTTAAGCACACATCAGGCCTGCCAGACGCTATGGGGCTCCCACGTGTTCACCTATCCGCTCCAAATCGCGTGAAGTCAGCTTGGAAGGTGGGCAATGTGACATAAAGCCGGATTTAGTCTTGACATCCACACCAACCCATGGATTTAATGATGATTACTTGATATAAAAAGAGGAAGATCCCTTTATTGAGGGGATTCGGCCATTTTACACTCGGAATTACCTCTCTCTCTCTTGTAAATGTTGTAATTACTTTTTCTCCTTATCATTTGTAAGTCAGTCCATTGTTGCGACCTGACCCACAATACTAATACAAATCCGTGGATGTAGGACTTGTTACCTTAGCATCCGAACCACTTTAAAAGCTCTCATTGCATTTATTCAACATTTTATCCATATCACGTGTGTCTCTTGACCAATCAGCGTTACATACATGACGATTAGTTGGTGTTAAAAATCACGCATCAACACACGTATCTGCCAATTACAAGCAACAGTAGCATTGAATAAAAGAAAAAGAGTATCTTACCTAAACAAACTTGTCTCAGGTAGTTGCTGCCTCTAGACAAAGAGGAAATACTTATGTACACCACGACACCACGTTCGACATTTACCACCCACCTAATTTTTTTAGTTGCTTCTTCCCTCTGGTTTGACAAAATTGGAACTACTATATTGCCATTTGACTCATGCTCAAGATTAGTTGAGTCAAATGGCTTTGGTTGTGCCAGCACTAATCAAATGGTTCTGATTAGAGGCTGGACTCAGAAGGATGGATGTGACTTACACGTTAACCTGCTTTTCTATCTGCAGTTGGCTGTTCAGCTGCACTTTCACCCATGTCCTTCAACTGCCAAAGAATCGGACCACAAATGAATATCAAATGCACTCCCGAGCACAATCCAAGAATCCACAATATGAAGCATATCAATGAAACTTAGAAAACTTTATTTTCCTAGAGTGGCCTGCAATGATATTTGCATCGTGTGAAGATGTTTGATAAGCACCTCTGCTCCAAAACTACTTCCTCTGCCACAGCCAAGGTGAATTTCTTGGTTTAGGGCATAGTCAGACAGGGAATAAAGCTTCCAAGATCTAGAAAATAATGTGCTTTTTTTGTGCAAATATAATTGAATCAAAGCAGAACCATCCTCAAGATCATGTTATACACCACAATAGCTCTATAGATTGAAAAATGAAAAGGGTGTTAAGTTAAATAAAAGGGAGCGAGGATGATTTTACCTGGATCGATGAATGAGTTTGTCGCCGTCGATTTCCAACGAGGAAGGAACGTCGTCGATTTTCGGCGAGGGAGGAAGACGTCGTCGTTGATTTCTGGTGAGTTCAGATGCGATTGGGGGTGGGATTTCAGAGAGAATAGAAGACACCAAAACCTGAGAATTTTTGTGGAAAAACTGAAAGAGAGAAATGAGAAAGGGCAGCGATTGTTGCTTGACAGAGAGAAGAGAGAATGGGCTGCTGTGAGAGAAGACGATGGTTGCGTATTAGGGATTTAAATTGTGGAACGGTTTTTTTTCGCCGGTCCAACTCACTCATATTATCCAGTTTTCAACCGTTTAAAACGGCTCAATACATATTAGCGGGTTTGAGGGTAACTCGAACTGGACAAGTGACCGGTTCATGGTCCAATCGGTTGGACCGGTCGGTCCGGTCCAGCTTTTAAACAGTGCTTCAAATTGATTTCTTATCATTGGCGGAACTAGAATTGGAGAGGGGCAAGAAATAAGAATATCCAAAAATAATATCATTTAAAAATTTTTAACTCCATTTATATAAAATATTATTTTATATCAAATGAATGTCCAATAATTTACTACCAAAAAAAAAAATAGTAAAAAGAATATGGGAAAAGACACATAAATAGAATACCTTTTCCAAATTCAAGTATAATGCCTTCGTGGTCCTATAGTGGCTTCGCCGCTGTTTCTCAATGTCCAATCAACTCAACTAATGTAAAAACTTAATACAATCAATGAATTAATCTGGAATTTTTCGTATGACTGTGGAAATCTTGGGCCCCTTTGGTTGCTTAATGCTTAACTGAAGATTCTAGTACAGCTACCACTGAATCCTTTATTTTCCTGAACATCAGGCCCTGTGGAAAGAAGAAAAGTTTCAGTGTTTATGGCTGGAATATTTGTAGAAAATGTAATTAAAAGTGTCTTACCTTTTCAAGCCATGTACCAGTAACGTGTGTTTACAAAAGCTTCAATGAAGGCAGGATCTTGGTCAGCCAAGGCTTGATTAATCTTCAGAACCTCATCATTGAATGAGGGATTCGACTGGGCAGCTGATATAGGTATTGCTAAGAAATCACGAGCCATCTTTGCAAGTGTAGGATACATCAGTGAAACGACATGCCACCAATCCAGTATATCAAACTCTTTTACTGGAGGAAGTTTAGAATCCTCTAAATATCTCTCAAGTTCTGATTTCTGTGAATTGAAACTATCATCATTTGAAGATGTACTATCATCATTTGAAGATGTGCAGGGCATTCCCAGAGAGTCCAGCATGTATAAATGATCAAGAGTATTTCCACCTGCATATTCCTTGTAAACCCTCAAAATAGAATCATAAATTCTTTTACATTCTTGTTCAGCATCTTGACCATTTATTTTCTCGCACCAGGCCTCCACAATGTCAAATTTAAACCGCAGATCAAGAATTACAGCAACGGCTAAACTCTCAATACTTCCGTCCCAAAAATTTTTTAATGTCGCCTTCATTTTAAGTGCCACTGATTGAAGTATTTTTGAATCGGAATTTTCTTCCCATATGCCCTGCAGTTTACAAAATATGTTACAAAGTTCAGGAAAATACTCGTTTGTGGTAAGGCATTTGCTTTCTGAAAATCTCCCAACAGCTTCATGTAACACTTCTAAACACTTGTAAATAACAGAAGCACCATCCCATTCCTCCTCTGTAATTGGGTAGTTTCTGTAATCNGACCATGTATTTTCTTGCACCAGCCCTTCACAATGTCAAATTTAAACCGTGGATCAAGAATAACAGCGATGGCTAAACTCTCAATACTTTCATCCCAAAAAATTTTTAATGTCACCTTCATTTTAAGTGCCACTGATTGAAGTATTTTTGAATCGGAATTTTCTTCCCATATGCCCTGCAGTTTAAAATATATGTTGCAAACTTCAGGAAAATACTCATTTGTGGTACGGCATTTGCTTTCTGAAAATCTCCGAGCAGATTCATTTAACAGTTCTAAACACTTGTAAATAACAGTAGCATCATCCCACTGCTCCTCTGTAATTGGGTAGTTTCCGTAATCAGAATTAATGGCGAGTAACTCCAGAAATACTCCTCTTAATCCCAATATCCTCCCAAGCATGTCAAAGTTAAATGGAAAATCTGAAGGCAGATCTTCAGAAGTCACTTTGATGCCTTTTGATCTCGCATCTTCCACTGCTTTTGTAAAGAGTTGTCTGCTTTGTGGACTTTGATCACGAAAACAAAAGAGATGGTTTTTCATCTTAATGTATATATCTCTTACCTTCTGCAATCCCTCTTTAATAAGAAGATCAAGAATGTGTACAAAGCAATTAATCTGAAATAATTTTCTATCTCGACCATAATAAAGCAGGTGCTTTACTTGGTTAACTATCTCAACAACTTCCTTATCAGTATGCGCTGCAGTTATGCAGCACACCTTTTTGCCAATGTTCCATTCCAGTAACATACGTTGAAGAGCGTCAACAGCATCCCAAACGCTTTTGGGTTCCCTTGTAACTTTCTTAAAATCAAGAACCATCTTCTTCAGTTTCCAGCCATCATCAATCAAGTGCAGGGTCAAACAACAGAAAATTATAGTATCATCTGGTTTCCAAAAATTAATTGTTATACTGGAAAGACCTGATGAGAATGTATTAAAAATTTCCCGCATCTCTTTCTTCTTCTCATTGTAAATGTCAACATTTTGTGTTGCAGATGGTGGATGATTCTGTGGAGGCCCAAACACATTGTTTTCCTCTCTGTTAAGAACAGCGATTGCTTTAGTACGTCCTGTTTCATGAGCAGGTTTATCTCCGTCACCATTTCCGCCACTTTGAGTACATTTTCGCATATGATTTAACAGGTTTGAGGTTCCTTTCTTACTTGAATATCCTTTATACTTCTTTGGGCAATGTTTACATTTTACCCATCTTATCCCATCTTCTGTAACCAGATCGAAGTTATCCCAAGCTTGCGAGCCCCGTGACCTCTTTCGATCAGTAAGTGGTGGTGCTACTTCGGAGTCGACATCTTCATTTCCATTATCATCCGTTTGAATAGGTTTAACCACAGCAACTGAGTCTGTTTGAATAGATACAACCGCAGCAAGTGGTGGTGCTACTTCTGAGTCGACATTTTCATTTCCATTTCCATTTCCATCCGTTTTAGTAGATTCAGCTGCAGCAAGAGATGGAGCCACTTCTGAGTCGACAGTTTCATTTCCATTTCCATCCGTTTGAGTAGATTCAACCGTTGCAAGTGGTGGAGCTACCGCTGACTCAACCTTTCATTTACATTATCGTCAGTTTGAATAGATTCAACAGCAGCAATAGCTGATCCCTATTAACTCATAAAATAATGTAATGTAGATACTCTATCTCCTAAGACCGCAATCTTCCGGAGACCGCAATCTTTAAAATACAGAAATTCTTAGTTGGCATTCATATACTAGAGTCATCTAATTCCCAAATATAAAAATCCAATCAATTTTTTTTTTTTTTATATATAGTAAAACAGTAAAATTTGTCTTGCACGTTAATTAAAAACCGGATTTAAAAAAGGGAAAAAAAGTATCAACACCTAATATTATTGAAAATATAGAATATTGAAACAAATTAAGTTGCTTAAAAACCACAATTATTTTACCATAGATCTTCATAATGAACACTAATAAGAGAGAGAGACAGAGAGAAAAGAAAAAACAAAAAACTACGAAAAATTCATCAAAACAATGTTTTGATGATGTTTCTATTACATAATTAGTCTGCACTGAATGTTTTTTGGTTCATTTATTTACCATGGCCCGAGTTACAGCTTATGAAAGCTTTTGGTTGGAGAGAAATATAATGAAGAATAAAAAGTAGAAGAATAAATCTCAACCCCTGATTGGGGGAGACTGTCTGAGATGATCTAATTAAGTCCACAATAATTACTGCAGCTTTTTCTTATTTTGGGAAAAAATGTAAATAATCCTTTATGTTTTTGTTTGAATGAGATTATAAGTAGTAAACAAGATAGAATTGAGAGAGTGAAAGTGAGTACCTGTAGCTGTTCAGGTCGATCAGGAGACCATACTGACGCTATATCAATATCAATATCAATATCAATACTACTTTCCCCATAAAAAATAGGAGTATCAGGTGGCGGCGACCAAATGTCTCCAAAATCGATCTGATCCATGAAAATGGCTTCCCAGAGTCGTCAAACTTTCACTTTCACAACCTGGGAATCAAAAATCTAAAATTAATCATCTTCTGAAAAACATGAAAGAGCTTCTCTTTGTTCAATGAATGTGTTGGCAGATTCATCAGAAGAAGAAAAAATAATTTGGTTAATGATCACCACCAGAAAAAGAACTTACTGTACTTAATGATTTATTGGTTGACAGTGCTGAAATTTTCTCTACCTTTCATACCTTTCTAGCCTATCAAAAGGATTCAGATTCATTGCAGTGATATTCTAACCGGGTAATCCGAGCAAATTGGGATGTTTAGCAATCGACAGGAGGGAAGACTTTTCTGCTGACTGCCTGCCTCCGTTTAAAGATAATGTTTAGGTGCGTGGGTGGAGGATGGGGTGACTTTTGCTTTTATACAAGGGATAAAAAAGTGACACCCCTTAAGGTTTCGGAAACCATCAAATACGCCCCAACGGTTAATAAAACTGTTAAATCTGATGAATAAATATGGCAACAAAACAATTACAACTCCATTAGGAATTAAACCAAACTAAAATCAAATTTAAATATTCCATCTCTCCCAAACCGTCAAACCCTAAATTTCAAACTCAATTAAATAACTATTACGCAATAAACCCACATATCAAAACAACATATAATATAAAAACTATTGTAGAAAAATAATTTTGATTTGCAACAGGCCCTAACCTAGTAATGATCAGCTTCGATGGCCAAGTCATGGTCTGCCACAACTTTTCAGCCGTTTACAGACCTCCACTACAATGACGCCATGATGCCAGCATCCCCTACTACTCCACGGCACTAACATGACGCCATCACCATGTTTTCAAACTGCGGAGTTCATGAGTTTTATTTCGTAAAATCTTACAATACATTATTTTTATTTTAAAATACATGAAATGACTTATTTATCCTTCATATATATATATTTTAAATTTTTTAATGAAGGTAAATGATCGAAAAGCCCTTTTACGTTCAAACTGGGGGTGTTGATGATGGTTTTCTGAAACCTTGGGAGGGCACACACTATAGGAAAACATAGTAACAAACTAATTTTTAAATGCAACATAACAACCTACTTTCTTTTTTTTCGAAAATACTTATAGCTTCGTGGTAGTGTTTGTTTCGAGAACTTTTTATCACTAGAAAGATAAGATTACTATTGAGATAGATTATCTTGAAGATTAATAAAGAAAATATTATACTAATATATTTGGTTAGATTGATGAGTATAAATAATTAATATGTTTGGTTGGGAGAAATAAAATATAATTGAAGGGGTTTTTACCGAATTGTCTTTCCTTGTTAATATTATTATTATTATTATTATTTAAAATATTTTTTAACCCTCTATATTTGAGAATTTAGTTCAAACACCCCAAAAACAAAAGTTTAAAATTTAACAAAATATATCTAGTCACCCAACCATGGATCTGGTCATTAACAAATTTAACGACTAGACCCATTCTGGCCATTAATGGTTGGATCTGTGGCTGTTTACAACTATGGATCTGGCCGAAAACAACTAAAATGGATCTAGTTGTTTTCGACCAGATCCGCAACCATCTAGTGATTTCTGGCCTTCTCTCTAGTCGGAAACGGCTAGATTGGCACATGGGCCAGATCTAGCCAATCGTGCGCAGTTCTGACAACTATCGGTGGCGGCCGACGGTCATCTTGGTGGTTGGGGGTATTTTGGGTATTATCTTTTTTTTTTTTTGGGTAAGTGAATTTTGGGTATTATCATGTAAATAGTGAGGGTATTTCTGTCCCAAAAAATAATATATGAGGTTAAAAAAGTCATTTCACACATGTGGGCTAATTGTTATTTAGTAAACATTTGAGGGCTTTTTGTGTCATTAATTTAAGGATAAAATTGGTATGAACAGTTGATTACCTCGATAAAGAAAAAATAACACTCTTTCAGACGATAATCGAATTACCCCCTAATTACTTACAGTAATCACTATTGATATTGGTTGATTACCGGAATTTTTTATTACTTGACATTCAAACGTAATAATTGTTAGATTGAAAGATAAATTGACAGTGTCATCTTTTATGACCCCGAAACAAACGCTTTTGGTATACAAACTTTTTGTACAAATGGTTACATATAAACTAAAGTGTTTTAAAATTATTGAGTAACTTTAAATTAAATAATTAAAGGGGATTGTATGCAAATATGCAGGATCGTCACATTAGTTTTTTATATACGTAACATTAGATTTATCATATCTGAGTTGCAACCCAACAATCTTTTAGCAGTTTTCTATTGGCACATTAGTGGAAAAGAAAAATAAAAATAAACTAATGAATAGTCATTTATTGCTCAGCCAATCCGATAAATGGAGGTGTTCACATAATATATTATTATTTTCAGGTCAAGTCCTATTTCAAAATTCGTGTAATCTTTTAGACAAATAGTCAAAGTAAGTGGCTGCATATAAGAAAACATGAGGTCCTCAGAATACCAATGCCAATTAATAAGTTCCAAAAAAAAAAAAGAAAAAAAATTCTCTCTCCCTTAAATCTTTATTTATTTATTATTATGGTGGAAATTTCTCTATATAACCAACTTCATTAATTTTAGTTTCCAAAATCAATATTTTATTAAAAAAAATTTAATCATAAAATCAGATGATTTAACCAGACTGCCTGTAGTAAAAAAGAATAAGGACCAAAATAACCAGAATACAATTAAATCTAAATGGACAAGTCATTGGATTTTACGGTTAAATTTATCCTCTAACTAAAATCTTCATACTCTTAGAAATTAAGATTATTGAGTTGACAGAAGGGAAGACTTTTCTGCCGACTGCCTGCCTGCGCGTAAAGATAGGTCGAACGACTTGTGCATACCCAAGGTTTGCCATAACGATAGTTAATACCTAAAAGGTTTTGAAACGACAAATAGGTACCTTCCGTTATATTCGGTTAGTGATGTCTGTTTATTAATAGTGAAAAGACTAAAATGCCCTTTAAAGTTTGAATTTTAGTTTTTTATAAATTTAAAAATTTCTAAAAAACCCCATAGGTTTACAAATTTAACTAAATACACCAATATATAAAATTTTTGTAAAATAACAAAAACACCCCCACCACCCGCAGTGCCAGATTCCGGCCACCACCGCTGGAATCTGGCTGGAAAGTTACGTTACGACACAGACCCATCGGATATGTGTCGTAACGTGCCGATCTTGCTTTTTCCGGCCAGATCTGCCATAGATATGGCCGGAAAAGGCCAGATCTACGGCCAGATCTAGCCGTCGACGCCGCATATGGAGTTTTGGGGCATCAACGGCCAGATCTAGCCGTAGATCTGGCCTTTTTCGGCCAGTTTAGCCATGGATCTGGCCGGAAAAAGCCAGATCGACGCGTTACGACACAGATCCGACGGGTCTATGTCGTAATGCAACTTTCCGGCCAGATTCCGACGGTGGTGGCCGGAATCTGGCACTGTGGGCAGGAGGGGTGTTTTTGTCATTTTATAAAAAATTTATATATTGGGTTATTTAGTTAAATTTGTAAACCTAGGGGGTTTTTTAGAAATTTTTACATTTATAAAAAACCTAAAATTCAAACTTTTAAGGGCATTTTAGTCTTTTCACTATTAATAAACAGAAATCATTAACAGAATATGACGGAAGGTACCTATTTGTTGTTTTAAAACCTTTTAGGTACCCATTTGTCTTTACGGCAAACCTTGGGTATGTATAAGTCGTTCTCCCGTAAAGATAATAAAAATGTTTTGGTGCGCGGGTGGAGGATGGGCCGATGGGGTGACTTTCAATTTTATACAAGGGAAAAAAAAAACACCCCCTAAGGTTTCGGAAACCATCAAATACACCCCAACCGTTAATAAAACTGTTAAATTTGATGAATAAATATGGCAACAAAACAATTACTCCATTAGGAATTAAACCAAACCAAAATAAAAAATATAAACATAAATCAAAGTTAAATATCCTAACTCTCCCAAATCATCAAACCCTAAATTTCAAACTCAATCAAATAACTATTACGCAATAAACCCACAGATAAAAAAACAACAAATAATACAAAAACCATTGTAGAAAAAGAATTTTGAATTGCAACAGGCCCTAACTTAGTAATGATCAACTTCGATGGCCAAGTCATGGCTGGCCACAACTTTTCAGCCGTTTACAACCAGCCGACCTCCACTACAACGACGCCATGATGCCAGCATCCCTTACTACTCCACGGCACCGACATGACGCCATCATCATGTTTTCAAATTGCAGAGTTCTTGAGTTTTATTTAGTAAGATCTTACAATACATTATTTTTATTTTAAAATACATGAAATGACTTATTTATCCTTTACATTTTTCTTTTTAAATTTTTGAATGAAGGTAAACGACTGAAAAGCCCTTTTACATTCAAACTGGGGGTGTTGTTGATGGTTTCTGAAACCTTAGGGAGGCCATGTACGAAAACATAGAGGAGTTGATGTCCTCATCCGTTTAAACAATTCTTAACTTTTAATTATTTATTTAAATTAATATCTTGAATTTTTTTTTAAAAGTCTAATATATTAGTATAACATGAAGTCAAGTTAATGACCATTATGACCTTAACAAATGTGTCCATGATCTTGCATGATTTATCATCCATGGCGCAACCGAGTCTATGGACATAGACAAAAACCAATCCGACAAACCGTTCACATAGATTTTAGGTCAAGTTACCAAGCACACTATATGCTATTTAAAACAAAAATGCTACGGAAACCGGGATTTTTGCACCGAAATGTTGTACCGGCCCACGTGTCCCTCGATTCACATCAGCAAATCAGACACGTTTCACGTTATTTTTATTTTTTTTCTGGTGAACGGTCGTTCATCAAATATGTACAGCCGTTCACTTACATGGACTCCTGTCCATATTATATGGACGGGGGTCCATTTACTACGGACGGGTGTCCCTATTTAAAGGACGCCCGTCCATGAATAAAAAATTCTTATAAAAATTAGGGACGGTCGTTCATAGGTTATGGACAACTGTCCCTAAATATAGGACTGGCGTTCATACTTTAATGGACGCCCGTCCATCAACAATTTTTTTTTTTTAAATTAAAAAACATTTAGGGACGGCCGTTCATCCATTATGGACGGCCGTCCCTTTATTTTGGATGGGTGTCCGTAAGGAATGGACGCCCGTCCATAATGTAAATGTATATAAAAAAAAAAACAATGGACGCTATGGACTGGCGTCTAGTTAATATGGACGACCGTCCAAATTGTATGGATGGCTGTCCAAAAAGCACATACTCAGAGCTTTACATATACTGTCATGAAAAAAAAATATTCATTGACTTGTCG